TACAAAATAAATCAATCCAAACCAAATACGCCAAATCTCGAGCTCGAGAAATTCGAGTTTTGAGCGAAGTTGAGAGACCGCTCGTTACCTTGATTTGCTCCGCAAGCGCGATTTTCGTATACGAAACCGAGCGGAATCTTACGAGTCACGGTGACAAAGAGGAATTGGGCCATTACGGAAAACTCAAGAGTCTCATATGCCATACTTGATCCTGTCAATTAAAACTTGTAGCTGTTAATAGACGTTACTCGTTGCGCAACGACGTGACGTAAAAGCGACGACTTTTTCACCGCCCCTCGTCCGCCTCTCGCTCAACGATTGCCAGTCGCAGTTGCAATTGCGATGTAGCTATCCCTATACGATCGCGGTTGATGGTCTTTTGAGCGTGCCGCGATGAGTTGCAATTTTTTATAACGCTGATAAAAAGCAGCAAGAGAGATTAGACGGTGGTACCGTTAAAAACGACATACGTGTACGTATCGCACAATTGAGCTTTTCGCAATGGCCTCATTGTACCTGCGTGTCACACAAAGGTTTAAGTGAACGAACCACTTAACTTCCTTTCGCTTTAGCTGCAATCCTTAAATTCGAATTCATTTGTCTCCAAGACGCGAGAGAGATTCTTGTACGTCACGCACAATATCAACACGATTAATTTGTTAGGGATCATCCGACAAAACGATCATCCCCAAAGACTCCTTGAGGATCCCGCTCCTTTTAAAATTACACCAGAACCAGCATATTTGTCAGCGTTTAAAACAGCGTCGTTGCACCGGTGTGTTTCTGCCCACTTGTCAAATCGTCGCGACGGAAAGTCATTACGGGGATCATCACGAGCGCGCGCGCGAGAGAGAGAGAAAGAGAACGAAAGAGTGAAAGAAAGAAAAAAAAAATAAAGAACAACGAAACTTATTACTACACGCTACTATACCAGCCTGTACGTAGTATGCTAATCCTAGCGCTGTATTAATTCAGTGTGTCTCGCGAATTAGGCCTAAACCTAAACTCCGCCCGAAGTGGCGTCCGATTGCGTATTATAAGTGCATACGTCATTCCTCTTTCCTTCTCGTGCACGTTGCCTTCTATTGCAACAAAAAAAAAAAGAAAAAAGAAACGAAAAGATACCTTTACCTAGAACAACCGCAAAATGAAACCTCAGTCCTACAATTTATGAAAGTTGCGAGGAGCGAAGTAACCGAAGTTGCCGATGTGAAAAACGGATCTATGTCTCGGATTTAGTTGTTACGGAGAGCGATCGCGAAGAGAACAATGTTCGATGACGTAATAATCTTCTTCTTCCTCCGTTTCCTTTTTGTCGTCTGAGCGAGGGGGAAGATCAGTCGCGAGTATCGGTAGTTTTGTGAGAAGTGTGGACGATATTGGAAAACTGGATACAAGAGCTTTGGATAATAAATGGGACAAACAAATATGATTTTTCTAATGATAGTGTCGTTTATTATGCGTCTGATTACTACACACACACACACACACGCACGCGCACACACACACACACACGCACGCACGCACGCACACACACACACACATACTCTTTCGTATCGCTTAATCGCAGCGTGATATTTGCCGGGCGACGGACTCTACGCACCTTCTACCGTATTGTTAATTTCGCTTTGCGAATGGCACATTGACTCGGCCAAATAAATCAAAGACGAAAGACCGACAACAAAATTTGACAAACATGACCGAATAAATTTGACCGGACAGACTTTTTACTTTCTTCCACGGATTGTAGACGGCAGGACGGAAGCGTCTGAACGTTTTCTCTTTTCACGCACGTTCGAACGCACTTTCCTTTCGCAATAAAAATTGAACGGAAAAGTTTAAGAATGCTCACGTGGCAACTTGCTAATTATTATGATTCAGATTTACATATGTAATATTGTTATCCGGAAATGCAGAATTTGACTTTCAGATACCAAGTTCCCGGCGCGATTGACAGACCAGTATGTTAAACGTCGCGCACTATTCTACACATGTTTCCTCCTATTCTGCAAAAACTCGCGTATTAATTGACATTTAACATGATGAACTGACGCGTGATACAGTCACGTGTCTCTTCTTTTGATGTATCGACATTTCCTTCTCCTTCCAATACGAAATAGAAAATGAGAGAGATATACAGCTAGATATATCAAGTCACTCCGAGTCAGTGTTTTGTCCGATATATTTACCAGATTATTTTGCAATTTCATATACTGCAACTTCACTCGTATAGATTTCACAGAACTAGATGTAGGTCTACCCTTTCGTCCGAGGATAATCCTGTGACGCATATAGTTCACGCGCTTCACAGTTTGCGACACCACTGCTGGCTCCGACGACGAACTGGCGAGAACGACGAACACATCATTTCGTAACAAACCGATCGTAAAATTCGCGATACCAGCTGCGAACGAATGCGCACTGCACTCACGTAGCCGAGATGTCGCGGAAAGTCATCGAGGGTCCCTCGCTGCCTCCATATTCCCGAAAAACGTTTCGGCGCAGCATGACTCGCACGGGTCGCGGCTGTCGAACGGAAACGGACACGTAAATCGTGAATCGGGAGGACGCCGAGTACCGTCGGAATCGCACGCGTCTCATCCGGGCGGTGCGGCGCGGCGAATGCGCGTTTTAGCTCATCGCGAGAGAGCGACGCGACGCGACACGACGCAACGCGACGCGACGGTACGCAGCACACGACGCGTGGCGACGTGCGGGAACGACTGCGAACGCGGAGAACCGAACGGGACGCCGCGCCGCCGCGGACGGCGGAGTCGAGAGCGCGAGGAGAAACGACAGGTGACTAGTCGGCCGACTGGACGCCGCGCCATGCGCGCCGTCGCCACGCTCTCGGCCGGTCTTCGGCCGCGCTCGCCGGCGCTCGGCTGCTTCCGCCGGGCGATGGTGGGGCGAGCGGTGTATACGTGACGTCACATAATTAGAGTAAATACAAAGTAGTCTTGATGGGACAGCGGCGTGCGCCGCACCGTGAGTCGCTGGTCCGAGCGCGTCAAACCTATA